TCTCTGTGCCCCGCACATGCCCCCTGCATCTCCTGCCTGTCCTGTCCCTGGCTCTCTGTCATATCCCCTGCTCCCTTCTGTCCCACCATATGCTCCCTACTGCACCCCCTGTACTTCTCATGCTCCCTCTGCACCCCTCTGTGCCCCGTACGCTCCCTACTTGCACTCCCTGCAATCCCTGCATGCTCCTTACTGCACTCTATGCTGCACCCACAAGTCTCCACCTCTGCAACCCCCAGTGCACCCCCAACCCCACACTGCACCCACAGAGCTCTGTGGAACCACCGCGCCTCCCTGTACCCCCATGTCCTCCCTACACCCTACATGTTCCTGCCCCTTCCCCTGTAATTGCAGCCCCCTCATCCCAGGGCCGTGGCCTCCTGCACAGCAGCACTGTGCCCCTCTGGGCCCCTTGTGCCCCCCCTCTGCCCAGGAGCCCCATCCCCAGCCAGGGCTCGGAGACCAGGCTAGTGCTTCCCATAGCCAGAACAAAGGCACACCGCAAGGGTCACTGGCTGGCTGCGGAGCCCTCAATGTACAGCCATGCATGCTGTCCTCTCCTTCCAGCCCATTTCTGATAATCTCATGTGCCCAAACCACTGCTGGCTTTATAGTCTGAAGAGACTACAGTTATTTTAAAACAGATACAGGATGGATGTAACTCCTGCAGATGCGCTGTGGGACATGCTCAGGCTGTGCACACTGCCCCTCACTACAATTAGTTAATTTGGCATCCCCAAGCTCAGATGCCAGGCCAATCTGTCAGCTTCTCCAGGAGACACAGAGGCCTCCAAATGTCCCTCCACACAGACAGGCTCTCACTGTCTGGGGCTTCCACCAAGCCCTGTGCTCAGTTTGGCTACCTGCAGGCTACCCCGAGCTTCAAAAGCAAATGGCTCTTTCCCAACTGCTTCAGGTTGCAGTGCAGCTATTTTTGATGCAAGTGTTTTATAAGCTACTAGACCCACAGCAGCATTAATGGGTATAGAAAATGAACCCAACCCACTGAAAAGTTAGCAGCATTTTGCCAAGAGCTGCCAAGCCTGGCTCTCCCTGGGCAAAGCCAAAGGGATATGAGAGCCAAGCAGGTAATGCCAGCATTTCACCTGTCCCAGGGAAGGATGCTGGTATAACATGTGTGGCACTGATAATCCTCAGCTGCAGAGGAAAAGGGGACCCCTCCTATACTGTGCTTTGGTGACAGGCAGGTACCACTGCTTGTTTGAGGCAGCAGGAAGGCAGTACCTGAAATATGTTTTCCTCCTTGGAAATGGCACTATTCCATGTTTTTTTTCCTAAGGCAAGTTGTAAACACAGGCCATATATACTCAGGACACCTCTGGAGATGTCTTTAAATCTCCCCTGTTAGCCATCTTTTTCCATGAATCTGGGGTGCTCCTAGGGATCTGGAGAAGAAGATCATGTTAGGGACAGGACTGAGACTAGGATGGTAAGCTGCAAAGTACCTGCATTGCATATGACACAGAGAATTACTGCTCCTGACATCTGGAGTGCTTTATTGGCTAGATATAGCAGCTATTTAAATAAAAAAATTAGTAAAAATGAGACTCAAAGAGGTACTGAGTCAACAGGAGATGATGGTTTATGATAGGAAGTGAAATTTTTGGGAGGAGGCTAGGCAGGCAATCATCTGACTGGCTGTGTTCCAAGGCAGTGCTGGTAGGAGTTGTTTGTAGAGAGCACCGTGGTTGTATCATTACAGACCACAATAGCTTCAAAAATAGCCATGAACAAATGTAGCAACAAAGTGAGCAGCAACAAAGCAAATCACAGGGACATTCCCAAACAAAAGGCTGAGCTGTGCTTCCGGCACACGTGAGTTCTATCTCTCTTCCTACAGAGGTAGAGTGGCTTTATCCAGATGCATTTTATCTCAATTTGAAATTGAAGCTGCGTCGAAGTGGCATCAGCAGCTCTGGGAGCAGGCTTATGGATGCTGAGTTACTACAGAATAACAAAGCTATGCATATTGCTTGAAGACCAAGATCATTTTAACCCAATTTGCTGAGAGCCACTGTGTTGTCCCTCCCATCCTCTCTGAAGCAGGTCAGCCTTTGTTTCCTGTCGGTTTTGGACCTGCAGTGATTGTTTCACTGCTCCAGCCATTTAAGCAGACACCATCCAGCAGTTCCTTAGCCCGTATCACTCTGTTTGCAAGAAACACCTGGAGTTACAGCCATAAAAGGAGGACTCACCCATGGTCTCAAGGTCTGAAGCAAGCAAGAGAAATGAGTTTGAAAGAGGCATACACATGGGTAAATAAGACCATTGGGTCGGGAGCAGCTGTTCTGCTGCCTGTACAGCCTGGGAACAGTGCAGCGCCTTGCTACAAGATCGCAGTGCCCCGAGCTTCCCGCGCCTGGTCCCACGTGCTGACCACATCTCCACCTTCAGCAAAGGGCTCACTCAGCTCAGTGCACTCAATCAATCTCTCTTGGCACTCAATCTCTCTCTCTTTTTTTTTTGTCTTTCCCCCCCC